AAAAAAAAGAGTTCATAGAACAAAGAAATTTAAAAAGCCAATAAACAAATATAAAAGGCTGTTGTTGTTAGGGGACGGTCGCATCGGGTAAGTGACCCTATGAATAGCAGATCAGAACCGTGTTCTGTCCTACACCATCCTCACAACTCCTGAGCCATTAGAGCCCACTGTGAGTACTCACTGCCCCTGATTCAGGCCATGGTCGTTCTGATCACTTGCTATGTATCTGAGAGTTGGACAGTGAATAAGAATGACAGAAGAATTGATGCCTTTGAGCTATGATATTGGAGAAGAGCAAGGAATATCCCATGGACGGCCAAGAGAATAAATAAATGTCTTGGAGAGGGTGCAGCCAGAGCACTCTTTGGAGGCAAGGATGATAAGGCTTCGCTTCACACACTTCGAACATTTTGCTAAGAGGGGCTATTCCTTGGAGAGGGACATGATGCTCTGAAAGGTAGAGGGAGCAAAGGAGAGGAAGACCATCGAGCAAGTGGACAGACACAGTGACAGCCGCAACGGGCTATGTGTCAGGTAGTGGTTTCTTTCGAATATGTAAGGAAGCAGTGCAAATCAAAACTTCACTTTCATGTTTCTGAAGCTGAAAAATAATTTAGGGAGTTCTGGCAGTCTAGTAATAAGAAGCTGTGCTCCAACACAATGGCAGGTGGCTTTAACCCACAGGTGAAATATGGGTTATCTCCTCTTGTGAGATTTACAGCCTCTGAAAATGCGCTTGAGGGTCAGTAATGAGTCAGTTTCAACTGGGCAGCATATAACACCACACTATTTATAATAACAAAAATGGTAATATATATGATTTATATAGTAAATAGCTTTTGGGTGGGTCACTATGAGTCGCCTATGACTCCACAATTCCATGGAACTTAACAACAATATATAGAGAGAGCTCTGTTGGCCTAGTGAAGAGAAAGTAATGTTACCAAGCCAAAAGTGGGTGACTTTAATCCAAGGCCCTCAGGCCTGGTTTTAATTGTTTTTGGTCAAACATTCTTTTAGGTCGTATAGCCCTGATCTGTCCACTTGCTGTACAGAGGTAACTCGTGGTTGCTATGAAGCTGAACACTGTAACACTGATGTGTCAAATGCGATGTTTGCCCATGGTGGACAGTGTTTGGTGGAGCTCCAATTAAAACAAGCTTGGAAGCAGGAGTGGCATCTACTTCCGAAACAGCTTGTCTCCAGAAACCCTCTGAACCTGGAGAAAGGATGAAAGTCGTACAACTGTTCAGGTCTTTCATTCTTAGGGTCACTATGAGTCGTCTACGACTCAAGGGCACGTAGCAACAACAACATCATACTATTTATCAGTATGGCTCTGATTAAATAAATTATGATATGTATACATGAGACTTTATACAACAACTGAAATTAACAGGGCAGATCTCTTTGTGACAAGATGAAGAAATATTCAAGATAAACTGAGGTGAAATAAATTTGCAGTGCAGTTAGGACAAGCCTGTCGCGTCACCTGGTAACATCTGGGAAGTGACTGCATTAGCTCAGGGGAGATGGGGAATGGAAGGGAAGTGAAATTTAGCAGATGGCCCAAGTGCCACTGAGTTGATTCCAACTCCAGCAGCCCTCCACTGGGTTTCTCAGGTTCTAAGTCTATATGGGAAGAGACTGACTAAGCTCCTCTCTCAGACAGGCTGGCAGATCTGAAGCACCAGTCCAACACGTGACACACTATGCCACCAGGGCTCTTTGCAGTAGCTGGGAGGACACCCTAACTCCTCCAGAGGGTAACAAATAACAAACTCAGCTTCAATTTTGTCAAGAACACACTGTCCCTACTTAAAAAAAAAAATAAATAAAAAGGATTAGCCTTCTGGTTAGAAAACAGACTACCTTATCAGCGAAGAAAATCCTAAGAGGAAAATAGTACACCTTTACATGTAGATATAGATTGAATATTTACATATAAAAGATGTGCCCTGTCTCCCTATCTTTTCAGTCAATATGAGGAACAGATTTGCTGGGAGGCTGGGCTCTATGCAGAAATGGAGCATCAGAATTGGATGAAGACTCATCAACAATCTGCATTATGCAGATGACACAACCCTGCTTGCTGAAACTGAGACGGACCTGAAGCACATGCTGCAGAAAGTCAAGGACTGTAGCCTTCAAAATGGATTAAAGTTCACATCAAGAAAACTAAGATTCTAACCACTGGGCTGATTGGCAGCATCATGACAAATGGTGAAGAGATTGAGACCTGTTAACAGATTCAGTTTGCTTGGCTCTACAATCAACATTCCTCCTAACAGCAGCCAGAAATTGAAAAGAAAAAATGCACTGGCAAAGTCTGCTGTTAGAGACCTCTCCACAGTACTGAAGAGCAACGATGTCAGTCTGGAGACAAAGGTGCACCTGATACAGGCCATGGTCTTTGCAATTACTTGCTATGCATCAGAGAGTTGGACAAGGACTAGGGATTATAAAAGGAAAACTGATGCCTTTGAACTGTGGTGCTGGAGAAGAGTACTGAATATACCATGGACTGCTAAAAGAATAAACAAGTTCATCCTGGAGAGTGTGGAGCCAGGCTGCTCCTTGGAGGCAAGGTCTCCGAAGCTTCACCTGACATACCCTGGACATGTAGCAAGGGAGGATCAGTCTTTGGAGAGGGGCATTATGTTTGGGAGACTGGAGGGACAGCTTAAGAGAGGAAGACACTCAATTAGATGGATTGATTTAGTGACTGGAGTAATGGGGGTAGGTGTCAGAGACAGATTGGCAAGGGATAAAGCAGGGTTTAGGGCTGTTGTACATATGGTCGCTATGAGTCACAGGCAACTCGACAGCACATTAACAACAAAAACAACAATATATGTTGATAAACTTTAATCCTTAAAAACCTATTATTCAACTATCTGTACAAATTGTTCAAGAGGGGAAAAAAGTACATGATTGTGCTGGTGCTTCTAATATTATAAATCATGGCATTTCCTTCCTCCCTCATCCCTATCTTCTCAGGCCAATGGAATGGTTAAAAGGAAAATTTTACCAAGATTGTCTGAACAGAAATTCACATACCAAAATGTCCATTATTTATCCAGGTCAAATAACTCTGGAGCACAGAAATGCAAAGAAAGTACTACTATGCTAGCTTTTACAGAGAGATGTTTTTATCACCACATTAACTATCCCCCAAAATGATAAAACTATTTTTTAGTCTATTTTAAAAGTCTT